GGCTGTCGTTAAGCGTCTTGCCTTCGGCTCAGGTCATGATCCCAGGGTCCTGGGATCAAGCCCCACATTGGGCTGCCTGCTCCGCGGGAAGCCTGCTTCTCCCTCTCCCACTCCCCCTGCTTGTGTTCCCTCTTCCGCTGTCTCTCTCTCTGTCAAATAAATAAAATAAAATAAAATAAAAAAGATACTCTGTTGTCTCCTGGCCTCTATTGTTTCTGGCGAGGCATTATTGTTACTCTCTTTATATAATGTGGTCTTTTTTGCCTGCTGTCAAGATATTTTTTTGTTTTATGTTTGGTTTTCAGTAGATTGACTATTGTGTTTCAAGGTACGGGTTTTTTATATCCTGCTTGGTATGTGCTAAACTTCTTGGCTTTGCACATTGATGTTTGTCTCCTGGATGGGGGGGATTTTCAACTACCAGTTCTTTAAAAAGAATTTCTGCCTGACTTCTCTCCCCTCCTTTTGAGACTCCACAATTACACATACATTGGACTGCTTGGTGTCACTGAGATTTTGTTCATTTTTCTTCAATCTCTTTTTTTCTTCTTTGGATTGGATAATTTCTATGGATAATTTCTATTCATCTTCAAGTTGTATTCTGGAACTTCCAGGTTGTTTTGTTTTGTTTTGTTTTTTAAAGATTTTATTTATTTATTTGAGAGAGAGCACAAGAGGGGGGAGCGAGAGAGGGAGAAGCAGACTCCCTGCTGATTAGGGAGCCCGATGCGGGACTCGATCCCGGGACTCCAGGATCATGACCTGAGCCGAAGGCAGTTGCTTAACCAACTGAGCCACCCAGGTGCACATGGAACTTCCAGTTTTAAAAATATTTCCCCTCTGCTGAGATTCCCCTTTTTGTTCAGCTCCTTAAGAACACAGTTTTCTCTTAATCCATATGTATTCGTAATGGCCAGATTAAAATCTTAGTCTGCTATTTCCAGTACCTGGTTATCTTGGAGTCTGTTTCTTTGGGCTACTATTTTCTTGATAATGGACCACATTCAAAAAATAATGTTACTTACTTGGTTTTAGTTTCTTATGGGATATATTAAGATTTAGGTAAACTACAGCGTATGACATTACTTTAGTAAAAGCAACAGCTAAAAATTTTTTAGGTCATATTAAAGTCAATTTGATATTTTAAGGATTTTTCAAGATTGGCCATTATGGATTTCTTATTGTTTGATTCGTTACAATTTGAGGGAAGGAGAATTCCTGACTTATAAGGACCATAAAATATATCTTTCATTCATTTGTTAAAGTCATGTTTTTATGCTTTAAAATGCATTATTTCACTTGATATTCCTAACAAGTTAGTGAGGCTGATGATTCCTAATCTAACCCTCTTACATCTGTTTTAGGGTTTTTTGTTTGTTTGATGCAAATAGGTGGTTTTATTATAGCACAGGGACAGGACCCTTGAGCAGAAAGAGCTGCTGTTTTATTTAGTTCTTTTACAAAGGTCAGTAAACTTTTTCTTTAAAGGACCAGAAAGTGGGGCGCCTGGGTGGCTCAGTTGGTTGAGCGACTGCCTTCGGCTCAGGTCATGATCCCGGAGTCCCGGGATCGAGTCCCACATTGGGCTCCCTGCTCGGCGCGGAGTCTGCTTCTCCCTCTAACCCTACCCCCTCTTGCGCTCTCTCTCTCACTCTCTCTCTCTCTCAAATAAATAAATAAATAAAATCTTAAAAAAAAAAAAATGTTTAAAGGACCACAAAGTTAACGTTGTAGATTTTACCAATCATGAAATCTGTTGTAACTACTCAGTTCTTGCCATTATGGCACAAAAGGAGCCACAGGTAATATGTAAACAAATGGTCTGACTTACTAAGTTTTAGAGCATTGCTTTCTTTCCCCTTTTTTTTTTAAACTTAGTATAGGAAATTTCAGATATATATAAAAGTGGAGAAAATAGTATAATCAATCACTGAGAATCCCATCAGCCAGTTTTAACAGTTTGTAGAGCATGGCTGGTCTTGCTTCATCCATATTCCTACCCATTTCTCCATGCCCCCAGTTATTTTGAAGCAAATTTGAAACTTAATTTTATCTGTAAATAAACTAGTTTTAGTAGCTCTGAAAGAGGGATTTTTTAAAAATCATAGCTATAATATCACATTTTCCTGATTCTTATTTTTTCGTCTTTTTTCTTTGTTTATATCTGTAGTTTCATCCTTATTTTTTCTTTTGAAAATATGTTGTTGAAATAACTAAGTTATTTGTTTTACAGAGTTTCTCATTTTCTAGGTATATTTTTTATTGTGTTAAAATACACATATATAAAACTTACCATCTTTTAAGTATATAATGCAGTTGTACTAAACACATTCACCACCATCCATTCACGTTAACTTTCTTCATCTTATAAAACTGAAATTCTGTACCTATTAAACAATAACTCCCCATTCTCCCCTCCTTCTAGCCCCTGACAACCACCATTATTCTTCCTAGTCTATGATTTTTGACTACTCTCATTACTTCATATAAATGAAATCATACAGTATTTGTTTCTTTGTGACCGGTTTATGTCACTTAACAATGTCTTCAAGGTTTATCCATGTAGCATATTGCAGAATTTCCTTCCTTATATATCATCTTTGGAGAAATGTCTATTCAAGTCCTTTGCCCAGTTTTGAATTGGCTAATTATATTTTTTAGTGTAGTTTAGCATGATCCTCTGTCTCCTGTACTTCATGCAAATTGGTAGCTAGATTTAGAGGCTTGGTCAAAATTTGGTTTGATTTGGGAACAGCAGAGAGAGAACAAAAAGCCTGTATGTTTTTGTGTCTGTCTCTCTTTTATGCTAGGTGCTACTGATCATTGACTAAATCTATTAATTAAAGGCTGCAAAGAGGTGCTATTTTCAGGCTTTCTTTTTTTCCATTTATTAGTTGAAGGGCTTCTATAAAGGGAAGCTTGCCATCATCTTTATTACCCTGAGGTACAGCTCATATATGGAATGCATGATAAATGCTTGGTTCTAGCTTTTATTACCAGTTTTTGAAAATAATGTGTTGGTTCCCTAAGAACCTTCAAAAATGACCATTTCAGTATTTTTTGTTGTTGGGTATCTAAACATATTGGTGTGTTTGTTGTCCTTATTAATGCATTGTGGGCTCTTTTGAGTTAACTTACGAGGCCTTTTGTCACAGCCTTAGTAATTTTCAGTGGTTTGCTTGCTCCCTCGTGTGATAAGATGTTCCAGTGTTTTGTACATTTTGTGTCAGAGGCCTGGGGTCAGTCAAGTCTCCAGAATTCCCACTTTGCTTTTTATGGGGAGCTGATAATTTGCAGCCCACTGGCTAGGCACAGGAGTTCTTGTGTGTGGTCATTGTTTAAAAGCCATTCATTGGTCAGAGCTATGAAATAGGTGTGTGTTTGTTTGTTTTTAACAAAAATATATCATGAGTTTATACTGAGGCTTCCAATTTAAATTCAGGCTACATGCTTTTCACTTCTTCGATCTCACATCTGTGTCTTCTTTCTCTCATGTGAAAATCTCAGATCTCAGTGACCCCAGTATAATTACTGATTTGCTGTATCCCATAATCACATGCAAAAGTATCAGAATAACAATACCAATAGGAATATAACTCTGGAAACAAACTAAGAAATTTTTTGCTATACTTTGCCTTGTAGTTTATTCCTAAGGAACATTCATAACAGTTGATTTTATTATGGCTCAAAATCACTTAGGATTTCTCTGTTACATTACTAATATAACACAGATGCACATTTAGGTTAATTTTGCTTTTAACTTTTACAATTGATTTTTTAAATTTTATTTTCAAAATGTGTATGGTTTAAAAGTAAAACAGTATATGAGGGGCGCCTAGGTGGCTCAGTTGGTTAAGCATTTGCCTTCAGATCAGGTCGTGATCCCAGAGTCCTGGGATCTAGCCCCAGGTTGGGCTTCCTGCTCCAAGCCTGCTTCTCCCTCTCCCATTCCCCCTGCTTGTGTTCCCACACTCACTGTGTCTCTGTCTGTCAAATAAATAAATAAAATCTTTGAAAAAAAATACAACAGTATATTAAATACATACACATATATATGTGTGAATGCAAGTATATCTTATATCGTTATCTGACTTAGCTAAACAGTAGCTTACTTATACCTATTCTTATCCTCCTTGCTTTACCTCTTTTTTTTTTAAACAATAATGTATTCTGGAAATCACTCCATAGTAGTACTTAGAGCAGTTCCTCAGTTTACATCTGCATGATACTCAATTGTGTGGATGTAATATAGTGTATTCAACCATTGATGGACTGTTCAGTGTGTGTTGTGTGTGTGTGTGTGTTGTGGATAGCTTTTTCCCCCTTCCTATTATAGTTAGTGTCAGTGAACAGCCACGTGCATCCTTTTTTTAAAACTTCTTTTTGTTCAGTGTGTATTTGGAAAAGATTCCTTGAAGTGGGATTGATGAGAATGTGATAAATGCATATATGATTTTTGGAAGATATTGCTAAGTTTTTGTTTATAAGGGTTGTGCTGTTTTACATTCCCATCATCAGTATATTTTGCCACAACCTTATCAACAAAGTATGTTGTCAAATTTTGGGATTTTTGGCAATCCTGTAAGTGAGAAATGTTAATTCCATTTTTAATCTCATTTCTCCTATAAGCAAGGTTTAGCATCTTTTCACGTTTAAGAGCCATTTGCCTTTCTTTTCTCTGTGAACTCTGTTCATTTCTCTAACACATTTTTTTATCTTTTTTTTTTTAGAATTTGTATATTAGGAATATTTGCTCCCTTGTCTGTGATAAGTTGCAGTTAGTTTTACTATTTTGACTTTGTGGTTTTACTTTGTTCATTGTTGTATTAGCCATGCAGAAGTTTTAAAATAATTTAAAGCTATCAGTCATTTCCTTTTGCTCTACTGACTGTATAGTAGGCAGAAATAACATAGTCATGTAAAATATGTTTAAAATGTAAATTAAATATATTTGTGAAGACATACAGTCCTTCATTATAATTTGTTTCTCTTTCTTCTAGGCAAGGATAAAAGCCATCAATACATTTTTTGCTAAGAATGGTTATCGATTAATGGATTCTAGTATGTATAGTCAGCCCATTCAAACTCAAGCACAGTATGCCTCACCAGTTTTTATGCAGCCTGTATATAATCCTCACCAACAGTACTCGGTCTATAGTATTGTGCCTCAGTCTTGGTCACCAAATCCTGCACCTTACTTTGAAACACCACTGGTAAGTGAGATCCTTACAGAATTATAAAATTTTTCACTCAAGCTGAAATTTGAAGAAATCAGCTAGAGTAGTTTATTTTGTTTTGTGTTGATACTGGTTTCTTTCGGGCTTTTAAGTAGTGATAAAGATACCTAATCCCCATGTGACTAAGAGTTGAGCTATTGGTTCCTATAATTTTATTCTTTAGATTTTGCTGAATGAATTAAAATAAGAGAGTGGGTAAGTCCTGATTAGTTTAAAATGTTTTCAGTTCAACTTTTTCAGAGAGAAATGTACTTTATTAAGTAATGACCTAATGATTCCTTCTGTAAATCAAGTGATATTTGAAGTGAGTATTACAAAAGTAAGTAAAATGCTTAAAATTATTTTTGCCTTATAAAAGAAATTGAGGGGGATCCTGAGTGGAGCATGCGACTCTTGAGCTTGGGGTCGTGAGTTCAAGCCTCATGTTGAGTGTAGAGATTACTTAAAAATAAAAAATCTTTAAAAAAATTTGATGCTAGGTTAGTTCATCAGGAGTTTCTTACAGCCTTCACACTAGGTTTTGCCCTTTTCATTAATTGTTTTTAAACATCACATTTTCTTTTAGGCTCCCTTTCCCAATGGTAGTTTTGTGAATGGCTTTAATGCACCAGGATCTTATAAAACAAATGCTGCTGCTGTGAATATGCCTCGACCATTCCAAAAAAATCGGTAAGATAACAATCATAGTGGAATAGGGGTGCCAGGATGGCTCAGTCAGTTAAGCATCCACCTCTTGATTTCGGCTCAGGTCTTGATCCTCGGGTCATGAATTCAAGCCCAGGCATTGTGCTCCATGCCCAGCATGGAGCGTACATAAAAACAAAAACAAAAAACAAAACAGTGGAGTTTATTGTACACAATTCCTAGTAGTTCTTGAAGAATTACTGTGGTAGTCACAATGCTTATTTATAAATCTTAGTAAAAAGCTTAAGTCATTTACTCTAGAATTAATAAGCACACTTTGACCTCATAGTGGATAATTTGTATAAAAAAGATTTAGAACTAAGATTGTACATACTGACTTTTTAATAATAAAGATAATAGAAAATTATTTTATGATAGTAACATAAGATCTGGTGTTTAAATACCATTTAGTGTGTTAAATAGGTAACATTTTAGAGAATGAGAGAGTTTTTTAGTGTGTTAAATAGGTAACATTTTAGAGAATGAGAATAGAAATGTTAGCTGATTTGAGTATTGAATGCTGGAAAAATGAGTTGCTTAGGATTTTTGAAAATTGACTTTTGAAATGATTTCCGTGAACTATAGTGTTTAGACAATAGCTACCATTTATTGAACATTAATGTCCAAAACTTTGTTTTAAGGGCTTTACATATTTTATCAGTTTTCATAACCCTATAAGATAGTTATATCTATTTAAGATGAGGAAATTGAAACATAAAAGGTTAAATATCGTGTCTAAGAGCATGTAGCTAGTAACTGGGAGAGCCAAAATTTGAGCCCAGTTTGACTTCAAAGCCTATACTTCAAAAACGGTGTTCTAAATAAATTATTGAGAACTCTGGAAACTATTTGCTATCATATAAAAAGGTAAGTCTCTTAAGTGTTAACTCTTTTTATGTAAACATCAATTGATAATCTCAATAATTTGGTATATATTATGGCTTTTGAAAGTATGAGTATCCAAAGAAAAAAGGGCTTATATAGTGGCTTAGATTTATTTAAGAGTTTCACATTTATTGTTTTTTGTTTGCTTATTTTGTGAGTCTCCTAGGTTTGGGTTTTTGGCTTTTTAAATGATTTCTTCAGTGATTTTCCCTTGCCATAGTTCATTCTCCCAGTTGGTTCTTTTTGGCAAGAAGACCACATGGGGTATGTTCTTCTAAAATGACTTCTAGGAACTTAATTCTTTTTTGTAAGGTTTACCTGAAACATGCTTCACTGGAGAAAGAAGCCTCATGGTATTAAATATTCTTCTCAGTGGATTCTGGAAGCATTCATGTGTACCATCCTCTGTTGTCACAATTTTTTGTACTTATTTAACTGACAAAATTGGTTAAAGCATTTGAAGATCATTTTTAAGTGTTACAAACATTTTACTACATATACATTCTTACTGCTTTATGAAGTTTCAAATGTGATCTCTTCATATTACAAGGATGAAGGATTCTTCATAAATGAAAGGATTATTTGCTCTTGTAGGTGATTCTTAGTTTGGTAATAAAGTAGCAACTGCACAATTCAGGTATTGCTAGGACATATGAGTAGAAGTTACAGGGAGCCTCACACATTGTCCTTTAATCCCAGTCCTGTTGTTCAAAAAGATTAATTTCCATGAGCACATAGAATGGTGTTTAAATCTGGAAAGACCTTTATTATGGTGTAGTTTTAACTCATTTTACAGCTGAAGAAAGTGAAAGCCGAAGAGGACAAAAGTCTTGCTAGGGTTACATGGCTAGTTATTATCAGCAGACCTGAGATTAGAACGTTTCCTTTCCTCTACCATAGCTGGTGAAGTTTTCTCTTAAAAATAATTTAATTAGAGTAAATGACAGCTTGCAACTTCCCTTGTTAGAAAATACAGATTTCCCTGATTAGAAAGAGTAGCTTTGTAGAAATACGTATAATACATATTGATTTCACCGTTTTTTTTTTTTTTTTTAAAGAGTGAATTTTGCTTTAAACAGTTAAGTAGAATATACATCTTTCTTATAAGGTAGACTAAAAGCAGTTTTTAATAAGTAAAAATACTGGTGGTTTGCAGATTCTTGACTAAAAAATGTATTAAATGGGTTCATGGTGTTCCTTTATTGTCACTTGTTTTTGTTTGCTGTGCTTTCTTGGTGAAAAGGTTGAAATCACAATAAGAAAGCCAAGAATGACAGTCCAGTCATCCTTACTTATAAGGAGGTGTGCCTGTGCTTTTGAAGGTACAAGGCAGGTTTAGTATAATTTTGCTTGTTATTCAAAACCATTCATGTACAATCCTTTTTCATATGTTTGACCAGTGCAAGTTTTTAATTTTAGTTACAAAAATTATACATGAGTTTTTTCTTCTTATAAAATGCAAATATTACAGATGAAACTGGGAGCTTTTTGAAAGACCTTAATCCTTGTTTCTTTTCTTCTAAAAAGTGACCACTTCCAGACCTTTATTTTTATTTATTTATTTATTTGAAGTTATTAGTCAAGGAGAAAGTAACTTTTAGGAAGTACTTTTGTAGTTTATTATATGAACCTTGTAACAGCCCAGTGATGATCACCAGACCTACTTAGAGAGACTAGGACTAACTTTCAGAAGTCTGGGCATTTTTCTACCTTTCATACTTTCTCTTTCTGTCACTTTACTTCTTCCTTTCCATCTTTTATCACTTATCTCTCTTAGCTTTTTTTTTTTTTTTTTTCTTTTGCCTGGACTGAGATCGTAAGTCCCTCTCAGTGAAGGGTAAGATTATGAGATCTGAGGGCTGTTTAAACCCAGTAACTTACCTGTTAGGTATATTGAAATGCAATGAGAAAATTTAGGCGAATGATAGTTTCTGAACAGATAAACAGCGTATCTACCTCATGAGGTCATTTTCAGATATGATGGCTAATAAAAATATTTTGAAAATGCTCTGTGTTGACATTCTATAATTTTCATTGCTATTAGAAATCTATTTTGTGGGGCGCCTGGGTGGCTCAGTTGATTAAGTGTCTGCCTTCAGCTCAGGTCGTGAGCCCGGGATCCTGGGATCAAGCCTCACGTTAGGCTCCCTGCTCATGGGGGAGCCTGCTTCTCCCTCTCCCTCTGCCATTCCCCCCTCCCCCGCTTGAGCTCTCTGGCTCTGTCTTTCTGTCAAATAAATAAAAATCTTAAAACAAACAAGCAAAAAAATAAAATAAAAAATCTACTTTGTGACGTAAAGTAATTATTTCATATAATCTTAATGAAACTCAACACAACTTTGTCACCTGGTTTTTATATTTAAGTTTTAATGGCAGTAACCTCATTTTTTTGTTTTCTATAAAGAATAGGGTAGCCAGAGATGTTGGAATTAATGTTAAATTGTTGGGCTTTATAATTATTTTGAAGTTTTAAATCCAAATTCAGAGAACCAGGAATTGGCAATGTGTTTATTGATATAAATTTGTAACCATGAAAACGGGCTGTAAAAATGGAATTTTTAAACTACAAATAAGGGGCCAAATATAAATCTCATACTTGTATAATCTGTTACAGAACCAAGATCCTTAGTTGGTTGGGCTTACTTTGTTTTCACTGTTGGTTAAACTGTAGCCTCTCCTTTACCCCTACCCTAGCTTCATCTGCTTATACATTGTTAGAGAGTTGGGTGCTTATACCCATCATCCAAGATAAAAGCTACCCTTGTTCGTACTTACTGGGGTTTTTTGTTTGTTTTTACTAGATTCTATACCTAATTCATGAAGCCATGCCAGGCTATTAGTTGCATTATATTTTCCTAGCTTTTTTTCACATAGGATCTTTGAACAATTAATTTAAAAAGAAGCTGGGATTTTAATATATTGCACTGTTTCTCTGGTTTTCATTGTCACTCCCCTAGAGAGCCTTTTTAGACATCCCCCGCCAATTTTTCCCTATGAAAATTTAGTACTGGAGATATTGTATATGTATTTATGTAATGTATGTATATCTGTGCTCTGTGCATAAAAGGAGTAAGATTGGGATTTTTTTTTGTTCCTTCTCGGCCCCACCCCACCCCACCCCTGCCTTGAACCTTTTTTACTCCCACTGGGGGTGATGTTGCCCCATTGAGAATGTATGGCATAAATTCATTAATAAGCTTAAAGCGTGGCTGATTCGGGCGTGTCAAGACTGCAACTGGTGTTAAATTAGCTAAAATCCTAGTTGTATTTTGAGTTTTGAAATAGAAGTAGCTTTATCTTGAAGAACTTTGGATTTTACCCCAAATCTCTCCAAACAACTTTTTTATTTTTTTAAAGATTTTATTTATTTATTTGACAGGGACACAGCGAGAGAGGGAACACAAGCAGGGGGAGTGGGGGAGGGAGAAGCAGGCTTCCTGCAGAGCAGGGAGCCCGATGTGGGGCTCGATCCTAGGACCCTGGGACCATGACCTGAGCTGAAGGCAGACGCTTAACAGCTGAGCCACCCAGGCGCCCCCAAACAACTTTTTTAAATGTAAAAATCTGAGACATAAAAGAGTTTACATTTTTATAATGTGACACTTTTATGTGTAATTTAATTTGTGGAAAATCAGAATACAGTAGAAGGCAATTTTTAGCTTGTCCCATTAAATAGAGTTTTTACCATTAAGGGGAAAGATTTTGTCTGTCTTGATTTATCCTCTCATGTATGTGATCTTATATTTCTTATAGTGTGAAGCCTCATTTTAGGTCATCGAGTGGTTCAGAACACTCGACAGAGGGCTCTGTGTCATTGGGGGATGGACCATTAAACAGATCTGGTTCAAGGAACTTTCCAACTGAACGGCATAATCCTACAGTAACAGGGCATCAGGAGCAAAGCTACCTTCCAAAAGAAACTCCTCCTATACAGATGGAACAGAATGGGGACTATGGTAGGGGCAGGTAAGGAAATAGGGTAATAAATATGGATAAGGTATATGAAAATTCTTTGCTCGTAATGTGAATATTTGAAGACCTAGTGATTATTTTGTTTTAACTATTGGTGTATGGTTTTACTAATTGAATACAGTGTTCACATAATATGGGTTAATAGTTTTCATAATTATTTAGAAATTTATAGTGCCCATATAGAATATAGCTCTGAGTCAGAGGTTCATAAAGTTACTCTGAAGTTCTTTATGGTTCACTGAGGAAAGAATAGCTTAGAAAGATAAGATCCTATCTGCATTCTAGTTTAATTTCTTACAACTTCTTAACTATGGAAATGGGATTATACCTTATTGCCTCCTCTGCTCGAATGAAACAAAAAACCCTGATATACTTCTGGTGTGGAAGGAACACTGCTTAATAAAAATGGCCCAACTTATTTAGTGGTGGTGGTGGTGTTGTAGATGAAGTTTTTGTAGATTAGTTTAGGATCCCTTCAGAAGAATATATATTCATCTCTTAATAGTGGAGATATAGAAAATATAGTTAGTTAAACTAGAAATTCACCCATCTTTGATAGAGTGTATTATATATTTGAAGAAACTTATGAGTTGTCCCTCCCATCATCCCCACCTTTTTTATCGTTGTTAAAAGGAGAACTCTTTTCAGAGGTCGAAGACGACGAGAAGATGAGAGAGTCCAGGTAAGTTTTTTTTACATAGTTTTATTACATCTATTTATTTATTTTTTTCTTTTGTGATTTAGTATGGCATTGGCTTGTGGTCGGTCTTTCCAGGTTTTTGTCTTATTGATTATAGTATTAGACAAAGGTAAATAGAACCTGTGCTTTGACCCTAAAATATCTACTGCTACCACTATGCCCCACCCTTAAAGCACATGTATAGTTAGGGATTTGATCTGTGTTGCTTGTGTTTTTTAAAAATTACTTGAATACCTAATATATTCACATAGTTTAAAAATCAAAAAATGAAAATATTCAATGAAAAGTTTATTATGTTGTTAATGGACATTTAAGTAGTTTCAATCTTTCAGTCTTGTAGCTATGGTAACTTCTTTCCTATGTGTGTAATAACACCTGAAGGAGAATCCTTAGAAATGGGATTTCTAGGTCACAATTCAGTAAGTTGCTGCCAGCTTAACATCTTTCTGTAGGGGTTGTGCCAATTTACACTCTGACAGACATTGAACAAAAGTTACTATTTATCAATAGCCCAATAAATATATGACTTTTTGCCAACTTGATAAAGTTTATCATTCACTTACAAAGCTCTCTGGATGGTGTTGGAAACTCATTACTTGAGGGGGCGGGCAATTTTCTAGCTACTACTTATTCTTCTATCCACTAATCTTAACAAAAGTGCTTATAAATTAAAGTTTTATAGTTCTAAATTGTATATACATATAAGTGTACTATACATACAGCATGTAGGCTACATATAATATATATACAAATATTACATATATAAGTAGTGAAAAGATAAGCATTTCCAAAGAAGAAAACATACTGCGTTATAACACACAGAATGGTCCTTAGGGCAAACTGTGAACCTTTTAAAATAGTATTGTTTTTTTATTTATAGCTTTCTGTACCATGGGCAGCCATGACATAGCAACAGCTTTTTTAGAACGATACCATTGCAACAGTCCATATGAATCCTCAAGTGGCCCTGAACAACTGAGGAGAGAAGAGATTAGTTTTGAAGTCCATTTAATATGTTGAAAATATTTTGAGGATTGAGGACTGAAGGGGTGAAGAAAAAGGAGACAAACACACTTTCCAGTAGGAAAGGCAGAATGGAAGTGCCTTTGTGCAGGAAGAAGATGTTAGCTAGAGGTAAAATTTAGGATTTGTGAGCTTACACAAAGTAATTGAAATCATAAAAGTAGATGAAATCATTCAGGGGACTCTGTAGAGTAAGTGATTTAGAGTGGTCAAGAATGGAACTTTGGCAGCATAGTAGCTTTGGGCTAAAGAATGAGATTAGTTATTATATTGTTTGAAGTATCCAAGCAAAATCTGAGCAGAGAAGGCTGATAGACAAATGGATGTCTAGGTTTCAGGTAAAGGTCTGGGCTGAGAATATTGAAAGTGTACAATTCAGTGAGTTTTGGTAAATTTCTAGTGGTGTGTAGCCAGTCACCAAAAGTGAAAAAGATTGTTGTAAAGGTTGTTTGCGTATAGGTAGTAGTTGAAGCCATGAATAGTGACTATCACACAGGGAGAGTATGGAAGTGAAAAGAGTAGAAACTATAGAAACACATAGAAACTATAAAACTGTCAAAGGGAATAGGTAGAGAGACGCAAGCACCTGATTGTGAGATCTGAAAATCAAGAGAAAGGTATCACAGAAGCTAAGGGAGGAATGAGTTCTCAAAAGGAAAGAATGTTTACCATGCCAGGTGCTATGCGAGGTTAGGAAAAAAAGTCTGTCAGATTTTGCATTGTGGAAGGCATTGATGACTTGTCAAAGCAATTTTAGTGGTGATACATACAGAGGTGAGGCTTGTAGAGGGTGGTGGGCAGAAAGGCAGATCAGGAGATTTTTCAAGGAAAGATACTGTTCTTTTGAGACTATATGAAAGGAGAAAAACTCATGGCAAATTTAGGTCACATAGGGGTTTTTATTTTTGTTCTGGAAGGGAGTATTACAAATTTAGCAAATAGTGGAGATTTGGTTAGCAGGCTTAAGGAGTGTGGCAAAGTTTGCAAAAGAAACAGGTGAGGAAGTTGACAAAAGGTAAGTAGGATTGATAAAAAAATGAGAGCTCAACTGAGATGAGAAGCCAGGAATTTATAGGAGAACAAACAATTCTTGCATTAGTGTAGAGTTTTGTTTGTTTCCTTACAACTTTCAGCTTCTGTGGTACAGGATTAGGGAATGAGATTGGCATGTGACCTGTTTTATGATTTGTGTCTTTTAGAGACCGCAGTCTTCATCAGCTGAAGCAAAGGCTCCAACACCAAAGTTTGACTTACTAGCCTCAAATTTTCCTCCTTTACCTGGAAGTTCATCAAGAACTCCAGGTGAACTTGTTTTGGAGAGTAGGATGTCTGATGTTGTTAAAGGTGTCTACAAAGAAAAGGTAAACACTGAGGCATCAATCTTTTACTTATGGGACCATAGCCTTTGTTTGCAGAGTTATAATTTGAAATTTTATTTGCACTTAATATGTATTTCTATCATAGTTTTTACTCATGGGATTGTCAACTTGCTTTGAGTATTATAAAAAGATTTATGATAAAGCTACACAGGCCAATAAAGTGCTGGGTGTTGTGTAAGACTAATGAATCACAGACCTGTACCCTTGAAACAAATAATACATTATATGTTAATTAAAAAGAAAGAAATAAAATAAAAATTAAACCAATTAAAAAAATAAAATGTTTCTTCATTTTTGCATGTCTTTGGTGTCAGCCAACTCAGTTTGGTAGAACCAATTAATGCAAGCTGGTGGAAAGTGTTGTTTCCACTTAAGTGCCTGTAATTAGTCAATGATATGAATGAATTCTAAGTTTGGTAAATTCAGGCTTTCAAATAATGGAGAGTTGATATCAAAGAGTTAGGACATCAACCTTTCGGATAGGTACCGCATCCTAAAATTTTTTTTTTTTTTTTAGATTTTATTTATTTATTTGACAGAGAGAGACACAGCAAGAGAGGGAACACAAGCAGAGGGAGTGGGAGAGGGAGAAGCAGGCTTCCCGTGAAGCAGGGAGCCCGATGGCGGGGCTCGATCCCAGGACCCTGGGATCATGACCTGAGCCGAAGGCAGACACTTAGCAACTGAGCCACCCAGGTGCCCCTCCTAAAATATTTTTGAGTGTAGACCTCTTCCTGTGCTAAATCTTTACACCCACATATTTTTCTCATTTTCTTCCCTTTTTTTCTTAATTCAGTTTTTATTTTTATAGTATATACAGGTAGTATACATCTAGGCTTATAGTGAAAAATAGTATTCCTCTGCAACCATTTCAACTAGTTTTTTCTCCTGTTTTCCCCCTATATTTCTAACTAACATGGTTATGCTACTACTTTTCTTTTTTCTTCTCTTTGCTTTTCTTTCATCTCCACCCAATGTGGGGTTGAACTCAGGACCCCAAGATCAAGAGTTGCGTGCTCCCAATATACTTTATTTCTTGACTTTCCAATTTTTGATGTTGTCTATTAACTTTCCATTTAGAACCTAAGGATTTAGCTCTCTTAAGCCAACATACTTTTCTTATCCTCCCTGTATATTGTACTGCATCATATCTAGGATACCATCAATTATAAGATGCCCTATTAATTTAGTATCACTAAAAAGGTAAAAAGCAGGGGCAGCTGGATGGCTCAGTTTGGTTAAGCCTTCAGCTCAGGTCATGATCTCAGAATCCTGAGATCAGCCACACCCCCCTCCCCCATGTCAGGCTCCCTGCTTAACAGGGAGTCTACTTGTCCCTCTGTCCCTCCCCCTTGCTTGTACTCTCTCTCAAATAAATAAATAAAGTCTTAAAAAAAAAGAAAGTAAAAAGCACTGCCAGTTAGATTAGGATATGCCATCATTGTAAGTCACATCTTGATATTACCATTTTTTTTCCATAACTGAACCTCATAGTATACTGCCATTATTTCTCCTTTCTTATACTCTCAGTGGCCTACTGCACAATTGTATAGCTGGGACTTGACTTTACCATCATCCTGAGAATTTTCCTTACTTTCTTTTGTTGGATCCTCACTCTTACTTTACTTTTCTTTATTATGGTGGGTCACATCTTCCTGAGCTTCCTGAATTAGTGGTTTTTAGTATAAATTTCTTGAGATCTTGTGTTCCAAAAATGTTTTTGTTTTTACAAAGGATCAGTAGCTTATTTCTGTAGAGTTCTGTTTTAGAAATCATGTTCCCATGGAATTTTGAAGGTATTTGTCTTCCCTTGTTTAAAAAATTGTGCAATGTTATAGTTATTTCATCAGCCTTAAGATAGACATTTTTTCCACCTTTGAAAATCTATAATTAAACGTTACCGTAGGTTAAGTAGTAGTGTTTTTCTTAGTAATACATAATATAATGGTGCATTTTATAGTTGATGGCTTCTCCCATTTGGTGAGGTGTGATTCACACATAACATACGTTTTTAAAGAAGAATAATAAAGTGTATTTCCCCTTGTAATCCCAACCCACAGTTGTGGACAATGAACATCACCAACATCTTAGCAGTGCCATGTGTCTCCCCTCCCTTTTTAAGATTCCTCCTATTCCTCCCCGTCAGAGGAAACATCCTGACTGCAATAACAATTTCGTTGCTTTTTTTATAATTTTACCATTCCAGGTTGGGAAACTTTTTCTGTAGAATAGGGCCAGAAAGTAAATATTTTAGGCTTGTGGGCCACATGCTAAAAACGTAAAAACCACTTTTAGCTCATAGGCCATACCAGCCAAATTCAGAGGCTGGATTTGGCCAGCAGGCCTTGGTTTGTCAACCCCTAACCTAGAGAGTATACTGTTCAGTGTGCCTGTTTTTGAACACAACATAAATGGAATGTGTAATCTTCTGTTAACAATTTCTTTCATTCTATATTGTGTAAAATTCATTGGTGTTGAAACAACTAGTTCACTTTGCACTGTTGTATTCTTTTGTAAGAGTATTATTCAACTGTTGATAGACACTTGAGCTGTTTTTTTGTCTGTTTGACATTATAAGCAATTCTGCTGTGAATGTTCAAACTACACACCCTGTTTTTAGGGTATATACATAGTGGAATTGCTGAGTGATAGGGCATCTTTTAAAATTTACTGTTGAGGTTAAGTTACTTTTTCATGTTTTTATTGCCCATTTGAGTTTCTCTTTATAAAGTGCCAAGTATTTGGCACTTTTTTTTTTCTATTGGGTTATCTCTTTATCTTACAGATTCATGGAATTTTTAAATTTATTTTGGGTACTAATCCTTTGTCAGTAATGGATATTACTAATTATGGTTTGTTTCCAGAGTTTAGTATTTGTGAATGAAAACAGGTTCTTATTTTAGTATGGTCATATTTATCAGTCATTCTTTTATGGTTTGTTCTTTTTTATATCTTGCTTAGGAAATGATCTGGCTTCCTGAGATCCTTTTCAGAAACCTATCGTTCTGATCCTCCTGTGACCTTTTCCTCCCCTCTGGAGGCCTTTAGGATCTTTTATTTATCTCTGGTATTCTGTGAAGTTATGAAGGTGTATCTTCCTATGGCTCCTTTTTAATTCATTGCACCGGATACTTGGTAGACCTTTTCAGTCTTTAAACTCGTCCTTACATGCTAGAAAATTTTCCTGTATTATCTCTTTGATAAATTCTTCACTTCTCTTTTCTTCTCTTTAACTCTTAATTTGATATTGCACCTTGTAGGTGGAATGTCAGATTTTGTTTTGGCTTTCCTAATTTTTATTTTTGTACTTGTCTATATTTTCTACAAAGTTTTTCTAAATGTTACCTCTGAACTGACTGAAATTTGGGGGTGCCTGGTGGCTTGTTGGTTAAGCATCTGCCTTTGGCCCAGGTCATGATCCCGGGGTCTTGGGATCAAGCCCCACCAGGCTCCCTGCTCAGTGGGGCATCTGCTGCTCCCTCTCCTACTGCCCTTCCGCGCAGCCCCCCAACTCATGCTCGCTTTCTCACAAATAAATAAATAAAATCTTTAAAAAAATAAACCTACTGAAATTTGTACTTTATCAATCGATTTTAATATCCAGGGCTCGCTATTAGATTTTTTTGTGGGGGTTTTTTGTTTGTTTGTTTTTAAGATTTATTTATTTTAGAGAGCACGAGCAGGGGAAGGGGCAGAGGGAGAAACAGGCTTCCACTGAGCAAGGATCCCAATGCGGCACTCAATCCCAGGACCCTGAGATCATGACCCAAGCTGAAGGCAGATGTTTAACCGACTGAGCCACCCAGGCGTCCCTTGCTATTGTTTTTATTTTACTTTTTAAAATTGTGGTAAGGGGCGCCTGGGTGGCTCAGGCAGTTAAGCATCTGTTTTCAACTCAGGTTATGATCCTGGGGTCCTGGGATCAAGCCCCACATTGGACTCCCTGCTCAGTGGTGAGCCTGCTTCTCCCTCTCCCCTCTGCTGCTCTCCCGCCTTTATGCTCTCTCTCTCACTCTATCTCAAATAAATAAATAAAAATCTCTAAAAAAAAAAAATACTGCGGTAAATTGCACATAATATAAATTTTACCATCTTAAGGGGGTGCCTGAGTGGTTTAGTCAATTAAGCATCCGACTCTTGATTTCAGCTTTGGTCCTGATCTCAGGGTGGTGAAATCAAACCCCACATAGGCTCCACGCTCAGCGTGGTGTCTGCTTGAGATTCTCTCCCTCTCCCCCTCTAAAAAATTTACCATCGGGGCACCTGGGTGGCTCAGTTGGTTAAGCAGCTGCCTTCGGCTCAGGTCATGATCCCAGGGTCCTGGGATCAAGCCCCGCATCGGGCTCCCTGCTCAGCGGAGAGCCTGCTTCTCCCTCTCCCTCTGCCTGCCACTCTGCCTACTTGTGCTATCTCTCTGACAAATAAATAAATAAATAATGCCTTAAAAAAAAAAATCCTTAGAAAATTTACCATCTTAAGCATTGTTCAGTGTATGCAGTTCAGTTGTGTTAAGTACATTCACATTGTTGTGCATCTAATCTCCAGAACTCTCAATCTTGTAAATATAAAATGCTGTAGGGGACACCTGGCTGGCTCAGTTGGTAGAGCTTGCAACTCTTGGTCTCTGGGTTGTGAGTTCAAGCCCCATGTTGGGTGTAGAGATTCCTTAAAACACAAAATCTTTTAAAAGTAATAATAAAATGCTATACCCATTACACAGTGACTCCCATTACCCATTCCCCCTTCCCTCAGCCCCTGGCAGCCACCATTCTACTTTATCTATATAAATGTGAGTACTCTGGGTATCTCGTGTAAATGGAATCATATAATATTTGCCTTTTTGTGACTGGCTTATTTCACTTAGCATGATTTTCTCAAGGTTCATCCATTGTGGTAGTGTGTACCAGTACTTCATTCCTTTTATTGCCCAGTAATATTACATTATATGGATATACCACATTTTATTTATACATTCACCGGTTGATGAATATTTAGGTTGTTCACAGTTTTTTGGCTACTATGAATAATGCGAATTATTCGTAGAAATTTGTGTGTAGACCTATTTTCTCTTGGGTATATACTGCCGGGTCATATGGTAACTGTGTTTAACTTTTTGAGGAACTGCCAGACTATTTTCCAAAATGCACCATTTTGCATTACTACTCAGTGTATGAGAGTTCCAGTGTCTTCCATTATCATCACAAACATTTGTTACTTACTGATTATAGCCACCCTGGTGAGTGCAAAGTGATTTCTCATTGTGGTTTTGATTTGCATTTCCCTAATTGACGATGATGATTGAGCCTCTTTACAAGTGCTTATTGGCAATTTGGATATCTTCTTTGGAGAAGTGTCTATATGAGTTAATTTTGAAATATATTTTTACTTTAAGGATAATGAAGAGTTAAGAGTTAGTTGCCCAGTGCCTGCAGAGGATGAACAGACAGACTGCACCTCTGCTCAGCAACTCAGTATGAGTACCAGTCCTCCATGTACAGCTGAGCTTCCTGCATTAAGGTACAGTTTCAGTATAGAAGGTCTTCCACATTAAGATTACTTTCTCTTCTGGTCATTTGCTCAGCTGTTTCTATGTGCTGTACTAAGTCTAATGTCAAGCTCTCTTTTCCTTAGCACAACTCAGCAAGAAAAGGATCTAGTAGAGGATTCCTCTGTTCAGAAGGATGTTCTCAACCAGACAGCTATACCAGTTTCTTCCCCAAGTACTGCAAAGCCATCAAGGGCAAATAGTGCTTCACCATGTAATAATAACGTAAATGCAGCTATAGCTGTGGCCCTACAGGTAACTTGATGAATTTAGTATGTGGGGACAAAAAAAATAATAGGTTAAATAATGAGATTTTTTTTTCACATAAGTCTTTGCTAGAGCAGAGTCATTTACCAAACTGAGGCTACCTGCCTCAAATGAAGCTCAAGGAGTTTAAAGTCACTGCAAAGAAATGGGAAATTTTAGCCATGTTGAGATAGTGAAGAATAATTATTCATTCTGAGAAGTTTTGGTTTTTGTTGGGTTTTTTTGTTTTTGTTTTTGTTTTTTAAGATTTATTTGAGCAAGAGAGCATGAATAGGGGAGAGGGAGAGCCCATATGGGGCTTGATCCCAGGACTTTGGGATCAAGACCTGAGCCAGAGGCAGATGCTCAACCAGCTGAGCCACCCAGGTTGCCCCCAGTCTGGGTTTTGGATTTTTTGTTTGTTTGTTTTTTGTTTTTTAATGGCTTTTTTTCTGATCACCTTCTAGTTAAATGACGCTTCTTTCTTATTCAAGTTATGATGAATGTATTTTGGGGCTAAAGAGGCTTTGAGCCCCCTTGAAATTCTTTTTTGGGGGGGGGGAATGTTTAACAAGTCTTAGGAGGGCCACTTCCATTTTTATTCAGTTTCCAGAAATCATTTTTATAATTAGGGAAATACAGAAAAGCAGAGCAAAAACACAGAATTTAATAATCTTTTCATTCATTAATATAACTAGTTGCATTTTGGTATAGTTCCTTCTAGGTTAAGGACATTTTATTTTGTTATTTAATAATAGTACAATGGCAGCTACTGATTACTGAATGCCTGCTATATGCTAAGACCAGTGGTAAATACTTCTCACATGCTTTATCCCATTCTCATAACATCCCTGTTTCCTTTTTTTCCAGATGAGGTAATTAAGACCTTTAATTAGTCTTCTATTAATATATTCTTGGTTCCCAGCTGCTCTGTTGAGATTCTTGTGGAGTCCATCTCAGGGTTCTTTGTAGCCTTGGAAGAGAGAACAGATGTACATTCATCATACGGATGTACATTATTAATTTAACCTGAAAGTACATTATTAACTTAATCTGTCCTTCCTTGTTAGACATTTAGGTTATTTCCAGTTTTTTTCATCACCTGTTACAAACAATACTGACATGAACATCTTTCACATAAATTCCTCAAGTGAAAATATTGTATCATTTATAAATTGCCAAGGCTTTTTATTATTTCAACAAATTTTTTTTTTTTTAAGATTGTACGCAGACACTTTAATAGCAGTGTATATGAGAATGCCTGTTGCCCTCTCCTAGAAGATAGCTTACTGATTTTCTTGTGGGTCACATTATCCTTTTTGTACTTTACTTAGAGAATGTTCCATAAATGTGTTTTCTTATCTTCACTCAAAGGAACCCCGAAAGCTAAGTTATGCTGAAGTGTGCCAGAAGCCCCCTAAAGAGCCAGCTCCGGTTCTTGTGCAGCCACTACGAGAACTTCGCTCCAATGTAGTATCTCCCACCAAAAATGAAGAGAATGGAGCTCCTGAGAAGTCCATTGAGAAATCACATGAGAAGCCAGAAGCGAGGGCTAGTAAGGAGTATTCTAGCTTCCGAGGCAATACCATTCCCAGGGGAGCAGCTGGAAAAATCAGGGAACAGAGACGCCAGTTTGGCCATAGGGCTATACCTCAGGGAGTGACTCGACGTAATGGCAAAGAGCAGTATGTGCCACCCAGATCACCAAAGTAAAACAAACAAACAAACTATTCAAAAACTTCTCTCTCTTCCCATTAAACTTGAGCCGTGGCTATATTGAACTGTTCTGGAGGGGAGGGGGTAGCCAGGAAGGAAACAGGAGAAAAGCGTATGTCCTTAAATCATTATGGATTTTGGAGTTGTGAGCAGTAGAATCCCAAAATTCATCTCTAAAGTGATTTTAAAATGCTGGAGGATTCCAATCAGTATAAATATATATATATATATATGTATACATATATAAAAATATAATTTTTCTATTTTTGTTTTTGATTTTAATTTGCAGAGATCTTCTGCCTAGAATCAATTTTGAGGGTTCAGATTTAGCTTGAGAAAAAAACATATTACACATCCTTCAGTACAGGAGATGAGGGAGTGAGAGAAAATATTTTTTGAAGAAGCATTTCTGTAAAATTAGAAATTACTTTTTTTAATCTATTTAAAGTTTGGCTTGGAGAATGCCATTTCTGCCTATATGGCCTTGTGTTGCAAAGCAGATCAGTGGCTGGGGTGCCTGTTGTGTGAGTGTGTGCAAGAGTGATTGAAGCCAAATCTGTTGTCATGTTAGAAAACGATTTGAAAACTGAATGTAATACTTGAGTAGATTTTTTTTTCCATTTTGAAATTGTCTTTTTGACCTTAATATTTCATTCAACAAACTGTTAAGCTCTGATTGTACCTAGAGATGTGACTATCAATCAGTTTGATACTCAAGGAAAGAAAGGGGGTTATTCAAAAAATCAAAAATTTGTCTTAGATCTGAGTGGATAGGTCAAATGGACTTCAGAGATTTAAACTGCTTTGTGATTTCCTGCCCCCCCCCCCAAATAGGAGACAGGTTTTTTTGTTACTTCATTGTTATTCTCTGTTCTTTGACTACCCACCCCCCAAAAGCAAAATAATCAACATCCTACGGAATTGTATGTTTCTAATTGCCTTGACCAGTCTAGTCAAATCATATAACTGTTCTAAATCTCCGATTGAACATTGAAGTAGTTTACTCTTCTGTTCATGTATTTAGAACTTTAGATCCCAGAATGGTAGGTCAGACTGACCCTACAGTAATTTATTTGTATTCGTGTTAAAGATGAAACATTGTAACTGATTTCTTAAAGTGTTAAATAGTGTAGAAGTAAAAAAAAAAAAAATTAAAGGCTTAATTTGGGGGTGACTTTTTTGTTTACAATGTGTTTTATCATCTTCCTTCCTTTTCTCCCCCCCTCCCCCTGCCAAAAAAATACAGTTTGGAATTCACAGAAACAGAACCAGCAAGTCATGAGATTTTTTTACTTAAGGTGAGAAAGATAGTTGAAGAAAATTAATACATACTTTCTCAGTGAATAAAGTTGTAGCTGTCATATTAAGTAGGCAAGTTTACATGCTGGTGTTTAGAAAATGGCTAAAATATTAAAAACCATGTTGCATTAATCTGTGTTAAGTCATACCATTTTCAGAGTTCCATGTAAGGTGGGGTTTTGTTTTCTTTTTAGGGATAGTTTGTAATAGTCATAACTGTCCCTTATGTTAGTGAATTACATATGTACAAATTGAAACTGTAAATTGTGAACACTGGAAAGCACCATTGTGACATAGAGTAAACATCTTAGTAATATATTAAAATGAATGTAAATGGAGGTTAAAATTACATTACTGTGAAACTCATCTTCCAACTCTAAGTTAAGCTTTAGAGATTTGTATTAGTAGCTAACTAAACACTGCACATTTCTGTACAAGCCAGGATTATCATTTCTTTGTAACTTATTATTCAGCTTGGCAATTGCTTTTGATTTGGTGGATTGATAACATGGTATAATATATTTAAGCAGTTTAAAACTATTCATTTCTACACACTATTTTTAAAAATCTGCTAGATGAAACATACAATAAAACTACCTGTGCTGAAATTTGGGGGAAGTTTAGGTCCTTTAAAAAAAAGTATTAATAATCATTGACTACATCTATGATAAAAGTGCTTATTTTGGTTTACTTAGATAATGCTGCAGTTGGTGGAAATGATAAACATTTAAAGTGTTAACACTCTGTGAATGCATTGGATTTAAGAGAATAAACATTTTATAAAAATCACTTGGTAAGGATTATAAACTTAATTATTGCACTTAAAATGAAACATTACTTTTTTACAATGTGTGTCACATTGTGTTGTATGCTTGTGGGACTTACTGTTAGTTCACCCAACTTCTAAAAGCTAAATGTTCTAATTGAAACAAAAGAAAAGGGTCTTCTTTTGAAGAAAGCAACTGTGTTCTTGCTTTTTTACCCAAAATGTTATTGAAAGTACAAATTTGAAGACGTGATCATTTTTAAATTTCTTATAATATATAGTGTTTTTAATTTAATTTGCCTCATTACAGCTAATAGTTCCCAGTTTGGTGGGATGTATAGGGAAGAATGAGTGTGTGTGTGTAATTATATATATTCACAGTATGTATTTAGCATTTATTTTATTACAGCAGATTTAAGGTTTGTATCTAAATGATGCCTGTGAGTTGTGTGAAAGTGGATTTTTTTTTCCAGCAGTTCTCTGTAACTGATGCAGGTTGGGCGTTTAAATAGTTCAGCTATTTATTTGGTTCTGTAGAGGGAGGAATTTAAATGTCAGATTTTTCTCTTCATCCTTATGACTTAACATTTCCTTGGGTTATTGGAGGCTCAAAGTAGATACAAGTGATAGTGTATAGTATGGTGGTTTTCTGTCATAGTTCTTATTGCATGAAGAGAACAAGAGTCACACAAGTTCATCACTTAGCACTTCATAGAGAAGGTATTTGGAGATACTGCAAAACCTGTCTCCATTTTCTATCCTGGTAATTGAAGTTTTCATAATATCTAGGGCCTGTCTCTACTCAGTGATTTCATTTTTGCAAATATAGACATTGGCATTCAAAAGAGTGATCCATCTAAATTTTATTCATTTGGGTTTTGGAAGAAGAGAAGATCTTTCAGTAATCAGGATTTATTGTTGTCATCTTTTGTGCTCCATTTCCATGTGATCTCAAATTACATGTGATTTTAAATTTATTTTTGGTTTCTAAAATTAAGGTAGCTTGAATATTGTTTTACATTCCTTTTTAAGTAACCAGGTTGGCTTTGCAAAAGGCTTAATGATGGAGTATTTGCATCTGCTGGAGCAGAAAATAGTATTGAAAAATTACTGAACACTTTCTTTAGCTTTATTAGTTATGGCCTTAATATTTAGTCTTTTGGCTTAAATGTCCACTGGTTTTACTTTGACACAATTGAACAGCACTGGGGTTAAGTCTCTTGATATTTGTGTTGGGCATGTATATTAACCATATTTTAAAAGTACCCATTTTGTTTGTTTTTACAGAAAAGATAAAATGCAAGAGGACAGTGTATTCCTTTTGAGGGTTTTTATAAATTATTAACTATATGATGAGGTTTTTTCCTAATTTTTGTATTTCCTTACAATTTGGTGGCCATTAATTTAACTTTAGGCTTTTCTGGTGTATGCTAACTTAGCTAGTCTGAGCTTCCAAGAAGATACATAGACATTTCAGTTTTTATTAACTGAATGAGACATTTTAAGAAGTTGAAAGAGAATTTGTGTTCAAGTTGAAAGTAAATTCTCTTTCAAAATCACCTGATTATTAAATAATTTATTTTTTAAAACTAACAACTTTTTATGAATTGTTGAGTAGACAGTTCCTAAAAGTACAACTCAGATGTCAACAGGCTGTGTATAAAATAAAATGGCTTTATTTTCAGTTTTGTAGCACAAAACACTGATTAGTATAGATAAAGAAACATCTACATCAATGTTGATTTTTTTTTTTTTTGGCCTGATTTACATGTCTTTTGAGTGACCCCTGTTAAATGTTCGGGGTCAGGGATCAGAACCAGTTACCCAGCTTCTATTTTGTCCATTGCTTAGGTTTGTTCCTGTTGTCCAAACTGCCCCCTCCCCCCCAAAAAAGATGGTGTGACATATGCTCATGCATATTATGTTAAAATGAGTACATCTTGTATTTGTATTTCTGTTTTCAACATTACCAAGGTGCTATGGGAAATGAAAGTAACACAAAATTAGAAAAAATAAAATTATTTAAAAGCAGAACTGGTTTCCTTTTCTCCAGGTGGTTTATGTCTAATGACTACTTGTATTTATTTTTCCACAATCTTTTATGTTGCCTGTTCTCTGAGTTCTATCATTATTATGGTCTCAGCTCTTTTTTTGGTTTGGTTTGGGGGAGTGGGGTACAGGATGTGTGATATTTCATCTGTAAAGTGAGGGAAGAGAGCCAGAAGATTCAGCTTTATTGTCTCAGGGTTTTCTTAAATTCTTTTAGTGTTGGAAGCAATGGTGATGGGGGGGAAATACCATAGGGCAATGTGCAACTTAAGGATTTTGCTTTTCTGGGGCAGATTATGGCCTGACCTGAGTATGTAAATTCTAGGCTTTTAAACTTCTATTTCCAAGAGAAAACCATTAGGTTATTTTTAGCGTTCACCACATCTTTGTTCTGTTGTATCTAAAGCTAAAGGGTTTGGGGAGCTTTTTTTTTTTTTTTTTTTAAAGATTTTATTTATTTATTTGAGACAGAGAGAATGAGAGACAGAGAACACGAGAGGGGGGAGGGTCAGAGGGAGAAGCAGACTCCCCGCCGAGCAGGGAGCCCGATGCGGGACTCGATCCCGGGACTCCAGGATCATGACCTGAGCCGAAGGCAGTCGCTTAACCAACTGAGCCACCCAGGCGCCCCTGGGGAGCTTTTTAAAGGGAAAGTTTACTGGGAAATTTAAATGAATCTTTTAATCTTTTTCTTTTTAAAACTGTGTTAAGGCAAAAATGGGTAAAAGGGGAAAATGAAATGTTTCATAGTTATTATACCACAGTTTATTCTTCAGTTGCCCAGTTAAGGTGAACTTTTTTATAGTAGAAATCTAGGTCTTTCAAATATGGTGGACTAATTTCAAATTAGATTCGCTAATCAAAAATATTCAGAAATGTCTTACTATTCTACCAATTTATGTGATAGGAGTATATTTGTAAAAAATATACATGAAGGTAGCACTGAATGTGAACATTCACTTTGATAATTACTTAGCTCAGCATTGCCCTTTAAACAGCTAAAACCTTTAATTTGATAATAGTTATTGTAATGAAGATAGTTAATATCAGTGAGTAAAATGGTCCCAGTAATAACAGATTTACAGAGTTGTACATTAACAAAGGCTTAAGGCCTTATTAAATCAGTGTATTAATAAAGTTTATTTGGCCAAGAGAGGGGGGTTGTGTAACCTAAATTTCTTTTTTATCATATCAGGACACGGTGTAATTGTGTATTCTTTTTAGTGGACTAATAACCAACTTGGTAAGCTTAGTTATGTAGGCTTTGAGTTGTAGTTAAAATGAATGGATTTGTCAAGAGTCTTATGACTGAGGTAACATATATTTATGCCCTTTATTTTCTAACTATGCCTTTTAGAAAATATTAAATATAAGTCTCCCAAGTTTAAGTTTTCAGTTTTATATTCCTGGAAGTTTTTTGCAAAGTTTAACAGTTACTGCTAAAGGATGGTGAATTTCCTTCAAAGTCTGACAAAACTATCAAGGGTGTTCTTAGTTTGTGTGAGGGCTTAAAGGAACTGGGATGTTTTCACTTTCTTCATAATGCTCCCACATATGGACCTTCGTTTTCTTCTGGTGTTGTAGGAAACAAACGAACACGCTACCTAAACATTATCTTTTTTTTTTTTATGTTTGTTTACTTTCTACACCCAACGTGGGACTCGAACTCATGACTGAGATCAAGAGTCACATGCTCTTCTGACTGAGCCAGCCAGGCACCCCTAAACATTTTTTAAAATTCGTTTTTGGTAGCTGCTCTGCAGATTTTTGAAAGTGCGTTCTTTCCCGTTTCTTTTGTATGTTTACTGTATCAGACTTAATGAACCATAGTAGGACTCCAGCCTTCCTAAATATGTATGCTGCTTTTATCCTTACACACTTGTATTTTGAATGATGCATCTAAAGTTCTAGTTTTGCATTCCCAATTCTGCCTGTACAAGTAACTGACATTGATTTATCCCAACTAAAGGTATTGGGTGGAGTATTTATTAATATATATTATGTCAGCCAGTATTTATTGCATGCTATGTTCCAGACAGTGTGCTAGGCAGCAAAAATAGGATTCCTGCCCTTACTGTGCCTAGCATCAAATAGTCCTAAGTAATTGCAAAATGAGACCAGTGGTAAATACGAAAGCAGGAATCAGAATCTGTGACTGGGAGTGAGGGATGGTGTGGGGATAGATCTTTCTCTGAGAAAGGGGACGTATCTGAAGGAGTAAAAGTAAATTAGGTGAGCAGGAGGGTGTTCAGATGAGGAACAACTTGTGCATTTAGCACTTTACCATGCATTGAAGAATTATAGGGTCCTGCACATACAGCATGGGCGACATTATTTCATCTTTCAAGCTGAGGCTGAAGAAGGGAAGAGCCAGACTCCTGGGATTTGAAATTTGTGCACTATGGAGAATAGATGGGAGACTGGTTAGATTATATCTCATGGTGATAGGTTGGAACAAAGTGAAAGATTTGAGGAACTTCTGGGAACAGGACTTGATGAGATAAATGGAGGGAGGAAGGGTGAAGAAGGCATCAAAAATGACTCATGAATTTGTCGCTTTGGAACTGGATGGAAGTTTGTGCCATTCACCATGATTGGAGGGATAGATTGGCAAAGAACATTTTGTAGAGAGGGAAATATAATTCTGAGTACAGTTTTGAAATAGGCTTGTTCATTTTGCAGGATTTCTGATAATCTTAACAATGGAGAGATGGGGGAACAAAAATAATACTAAACTAAAATCCCTTTTAAGTCCAAAAGACAGTAGTTCGTCTCCAGCATAAAGTGGTTTTCATTAGATTATATTTTCTTTCAGCTAATTTTTTTCCCCTGCAACCTGCCCCACCTCCACTCCTCTTTCAGCTAATTTAAAATGTGACCATTAGGGACAAGGCTAAATAAAAAATGTTTGGTCTTAATTATTGGTACCTTTTTTTTTTTTTTAAGATTTTATTTATTTATTTGACAGAGAGAGACACAGCTAGAGAGGGAACACAAGCAGGGGGAGTGGAAGAGGGAGAAGCAGGCCCCCAGCCGATCAGGGAGCCTGATGCGGGGCTCAATCCCAGCACCCCGAGATCATGACCTGAGCCGAAGGCAGACGCTTAACGACTGAGCCACCCAGGTGCCCCTTAATTATTGGTACCTTAATCCCAATCATCCCTTGTCCCACCAGGACAGTTTCCAGGCTACCAACTATCGTGCTAACCACTTAATATATGATTTCATTCAAGACTTAATGTTCTCTCTCCTCACCAATAAGGTCTGTCATGTATTGGAGAGGAATAAAAAGCATCAAGCTTGTCATAACTGTACCGCTAAACATTTTCCTCACAATCAATGTACCATTCCTCTATGTGTAGATTCCTAAAAGACATAATTCATATCTGCTTCAGCAAAACCAGTTGTGCCCTAGAAATCCTGTAATAGCCATAAACATGGCTTGAAGGTTGAGGAATTT